CAAGGTGAGAATCTCGAAGTTTCTCGTGTCAGCAAAGTGTATGCATGATATTTTGGAGCAGAAACTGGGAAACCAATTGATGGATGCGCGAAGGCAACACAACATGACGATTTTGAGTTCTCCTGCTTATTTTGTGCGCAATATACTCGCAAAGACTCTAGTAAGCCTTCCGCCAAATAACAATTATGCTGGGAGCATGAATCTGCAACCTTATTCTTGTTCCTTAGCAAGTTTCATTATTTATTTCACCTTTTTAACTCTTCCGTTTGATCCTGGTATACATGATATTCCTCTACCCTATGGCGCTAACGTGACTGTGTTTGCAGATAGTAGTTTTCCTTCAATTTATGTTTTAATAGTTACATTGTGGGGTGCGCAAGTTTGTGGCCTTGGGCTGAAACATGTACGTACTGATGAATATGAACATTTTAGTGGTTCCCTCGAGGTTCCCTTTAGCATTTAATCATGTTAGTCTAGTGCGACATATGCGGATAACGGCAGTGGAATGTGCTACTTGAAAACATGGATCTAGATTGTGCTGACATTATTGAGCTTGAGAAAGCTAGGCAATGGAGAGATCTTGAGCTTATCCCTTTAACGAATTTTACATCACTATTGGTGATGCCAGTAATTAAATTAGCTTTAACAATTATATACAGTGAGGGGCATCTCAGTACAAGATACTATGAAGGAGACAAGTACCTTGACATGGCAGAGAGATTAAGTCAAGCATGGAGATTCAATGTTTAGTTGTTAACTGGAACCCCTGAAAACTTTCAAATGTACATTGCTTTATTAAAGCCTTATACAAATTGTACAGCAAACTTTCTTGCTGCCAAGGGAAGTGCTTATGCTCGCCTCTATAATTACGCATGTATCCGCAAGGTATGTAACAAGCGAGAAGTTGTTCTCTTGGAGGACATGGCATATATATGTGGCTTGGTTGCTATTGGGGTCATATTTTCTCCTTTCAAGTACACCATTGTTTTTACATGTGCTATACAGTTTATGGGTGCTAAAGTTTGCACTCCAGTTGTGTTGGAAAAGATCTTGTTTGCCTATGAGGGGTTTGATAATGAGAAGCACATATTGCTTGTTGTTTCTATGTTGGTTGTTGTTGAAAGAAGTACACTGGATCACATGCAATTCTTTGGCAACATCGCACAGTTTGGTTTGGTTGCAATGGGTAGGGAACATGCTTCTAACATTATTCTTGACTCGAACCTTGAGGACAAGGTTCTCATTGAGGACGGGAGTATTGTTATGAATCAGGCTCACCCCAATATCACACATGTAACTATTGGGCTGAGAAGAACTATTGGGCCGAAAACAAGCAATAGGACCAAGTTGATTTGGGATCCAGGTTGAGTATTGGTGCAAAGAAGGTTTTGTTAAAAAGGGATAGTGGTCAGTTATTTTGGAGATTATGCATATTGTTGAGAAAAGTATCTGCTTCTCCTCGTCTCCATCTCTCTGAGTCTAACCTTCCCTTCCCCTTCTTCTATCTATCCCTAGTTACTTTACTTCCTATATTTTCTATTTTAATTCTACTACTACGTCGTTGCATTTTGATATTTGAGTTGTAATCACAGTTCAATATTACTAATAGAGTGGAGAGGCTTAGTTACTGTTATTCTGGATTTGAGTTCATTACATGCTAGAAGTCAGTTGATGATTACCTGAATTTGAAACTACATAATTAAGCGCAAATTAGAGTCTTCCTTATTTCCTCCATGATTAACATTTTGGGATTGGTTGTAGTTTTGAAAATAGAACAATTTAAATTTCTCATTAAAGATGTCATTATCAGCAGATTTCTCCTTTTATTCTTTTTTTCTTTTTCAAATTTAATTTTTTCTTGATTCTTCTTTTGAGGGAGAATGTTCGAGGAGTGAAAGCAAAGATAGTTTTTTCAGTGTTTAGTTGGGAAAAAATCTCTGCAATTGTTTGTGTACATTAGTACATAATTATCTTATATGGTAATTCATCATTTTTGGTTATATGATGTATTTGTTTAGAGGCCAGAAGGGCTTTGGCATAAGACCTTTCTAGTGTGAAACAATTAAGCTATATTCTTCAGTTGATTCATCAAGTGTTACCTATTGTACTGTCTGAATTTAATACATTTCTCAAAACGAGTTTATGCTTCTAACTTTTAACAGAAGGAAATGAATATATTATCGATCGGAAACTTTAAACAAACAGTATTCAGATGAGTATTACCCAGTTCTTAGCTTATTGGCTGGAATCCTCTTGTTTAATTAAGAGTATGCAACAACGAATTTAACTGATTCTCTATACTAACATTTTCTCCCTCTGTATGAACTAGTTTACTGCTTTGAATTAAACTTACAAACTTGTATATTATACGAAAACTACTTCAAATCTTGGCTGTCCATTCCTTTTCCCTCGTAACCAAACAGGCAGAAATGGAGTTTATAGCCAAAATTATCCCTTATCTTTGGGGGTAGACTCATCTTTGTCCTCCAAATATAACAATGAGCATCATTCGTCCTCTAAGTTTACAAAATTTGAGCACATTTAGTCTCACTAACTGAGAATACCCACCTCTTTTAGAAAACTAACAGGGACATTAAATTTGCAGCGTAGAAAATGAAAACCAACGATTTCTCTTCTCACTCAAAAACTACCTAGCCTTCTTGATATTTGCACTAGCAGTTTCCGAAAATGTTACCCTCCTTGTTAGGAGTAATTAATAGCACTAGCCTTCGATGAATCTTCTTATACAACAACAACAACAACATACCTCGTATTATCCCACCGTGGGGTCTAGGGTAGGGGTGTGCATTCGATTTATCGATTCGATTTTGACCCTTATCGATAATTACTTATCGGTTATCGATTTGTACATATGCTTATCGTTATCGTTTCAATAAGGTTTCAATTTTTTCGATTTCGATTTATCGATTTCGGGGGCTTATCGATTTGGTTATCGATTACACCAATAAGAAAATTTGCGGGATTCCACGGAAAGTATATCGCTATAAACGCGCCTAACTAATATTGACAAAAAGAAGCTAATAAGACGAACACCATTTATAATATAAAAATTGTGTCAACAAGCACATGCAACAAAACTAAAGTAAGGGATCAAATGTATGCCACCAACACTCCAACGGTATAAAAAAAACAAAACAAAACAAAACACATCATCACGGCTAATTCTGTTTTCCATTAATTTGAACTTCATTCCCTTGATCTTAAAATATGATCATTCCTTAAATGTGGTAGAGGAAATAATAGGGTAAGGGACTTAGGGTAAAGGAAAGGGTATAGATTAGGGAAAATAATATTGTATAGCCGCTTTCAAAATAGTAGCGGAATATATATACATTCTGTATGTTATATTAATCTACACAGATAGGTAATTACTCATTTAACAAGTGTTTACAGTCTAGGGGTGTGCATTCGATTTATCGATTCGATTTTGACCCTTATCGATAATTACTTATCGATTATCGATTTGTACATACGCTTATCGTTATATTTCAATAAGGTTTCGATTTTTTCGATTTCGATTTCGATAACAAATAATCGATTCGATTTATCGATAAACCGATTCGAATGCACACCCCTAGTCTGGGGAGGGCATTGTGTACGCAGACCTTGTTGGGCTAAAACGGCCCAAAGATACTCTTAACATAGTGTGATATTGTCCGCTTTGGGCCAAGCCCGCACGGCTTTCCCCGAAAGGCCTCACACCATTAAGAGATCCCTATACCTTATTATGTCGACTCTCAATCTTTTCAGCTACCAATATGGGACTTTGTTCGCACGCCCAATAATCTTCCCCTTGAACTAAGTTCCACGTGGACCAGTACCACGATTCACGGGTACTGGTACCCCGTTCTTTGATTTGAACGGTGAAGATTGGATTTGGAGGCTCGTAGCATCTGATTTCGAGCCTCGAACAGCAGCTTCGTTTTTGTGGATTATACTCTTTCTTCAATTGATTAGTTGTTGCTCCGTGTTTGGCCTTTGTTGTGTAGCCAATTTGGAGAACTTTTGTAATCCTCTTATTGTTATAGTGGAGCTTTTTGGATCTTTGTGATCCCGTGGTTTTTACCTTCGATTTGAAGGGTTTTCCACGTTAAAATTTGGTGTTCTTTATCTTCGGGTTTGCCTCTTCCTCAACATAACAGACCTTACCCCTATCTTGTGAGGATATCTTCTTATAGAAGTTATAAGAAAAACACAAATTTATTACTGTATTCAGAAACTGGTTTGATTCACATCGTGTTGTTAAATTCCAATCACGCTATGATTTTGTGAGCATAACTCTCAAAGATCTGATTTTGGCGCTAACATATGGAAAGATATTGAAGGCAGTGAGTTTTCTAGAAGGAAAATGTAAAAAGGGAAGATGAGAGCAGCAACCAATGGAAAGATAGAAGAGAACCCATTATATTATTATATATTTTCAGAAAAAAAAAAAATCCCAGTTGAACAAAAATGAAAATTATAACCGAAAATCAAAAATCAAATCAAGGAAAACAGGACATTTTACTGCTGCAACAAAGATGAATAAATGAACTGGAGAAGAAGGGTTCTTGATTGAGGAGGGAAATCCACAACTTGGGGGGTGAAAGAGCGTTTAATTTACTCTTCTTTTAAGCATCATGTGTTATTCTTAGTTAGTGAGACCAAATGTGCTCAAATTTTGTTAACTTTGACGACGAATGGTGCTCAAGGTTATATTTGGAGGACAAAATTGAGCCTACCCCAAAGGTAAGGGATAACTTTGGCTAAAAACTCGGTAAAAATGCATATGAAAGATATTATCAAAGTCAGTACTGCTAATCTTATCACACACAATTAAAGACTGAACTTTCAAAACAACTACTAATATTGAAGAAAATATTTATCATTTAAAGGAACCCCAAAAGTTTACAAAATTTTCTCATTTTATTCCTTCTTAGACAAAAAACAACAGGTAGCATTAAGCCTTCCTAATAATCACAGATGACTGACATAAAATCCTAATCCGAGTATGGAAAATACAATAGCTCTGCCTTGGGAGATGCTCTGCGGAAACGCGCCAATTCTATTACAATATTCCTTTCTTCCTTGGAACCAGAGGGTTTTACCTGCTTAATGCTCATACTTGTCAAAGATGGACAACGAGCAAACAATAGCTTTACGAAAAACAATTCAGTATTTGAACCCGTAAAAAGATGTATGACCACATATTTGAGCTTGTTGAGTGGTTGATCCAAGCAGTCTGGTGTGTCTAGATATTCTGAAACTGCTTCCACAGTATCACTGGAAGCACTGACCTAATGGTACAAGGATATACAAGATCATTTTAGATTCTCATATTTAAATATGTCAAGTGCAAAAACGAGCCAGATCATGCATATGTCTACTAGCTAGTGTATGACCACATATATTTGCTATTTCTTACCAAAATCTCAAGTTTACTCAAATTGGGGGAGCTCTTAATCAACTCGAGGCTGTAAGAGATCTGACTCATTTGGCTGAAGTTTACACCTAACATTAGATTCGACAAGCAGTTGAGTGTAAAAGGAAGCCCTTGTGGAACTGCACCTGCACTCAAAAGCTTCAAATACAAAAATAAGAATCACATGAATATAGATAAGAACCTTAGGTAAAACAATACCTCAGACTCTTACCTCAAGGAAAGGTGCAGTCAAATTAAGCACCTTAAGTGTAGGTAAGCTAAGAAGCTTTTCAAATTTTGATCTTTCAGCGGATATCGAATTATGTATCACAAGGTGTAAAGCTGTCAAACTTTTGCAGTTCATAAAGCAACTTAGCTCAACATTATAGTGATTCTCACAAACAACCAAGGTATTCAACCGCGATGAACCAATGTTCAAGTATTTAGTACCGTTACAGTACATCAAGGCCAGAAGGACAAGAAGTGGTGCGTTGATAACACAAAACTCTGCAGTTGGCACAAAGGTTATTTGTTCTAGATGAAGTGTTACAAGTTTCGGAAAGCCAAGAAAAGAAGTTGGTGGCTTGAAGACACAGTTGAAGAGTTTCAAATGTGTCAGTGTTGGACAATTATATATATAAGAAGGTAGTTTATAAGTACTATTATTTGACATGTTAAGGGTTAGCTTCTTGACACCGTTTCTGGTGACATAGAGCATCCATCTATCAATATCGGGACACAAAGACAACTGTACTCCTGAGACATCGAGATCAAATTTCACAACGTCTCCAAGATGCTGTAAGAGAATCTTATCTATAGTTTCTTTGAAGACGTACTGAGATCTTGCTGCTAATTTGTTACAAAAGAGCTTATCCAGCACCAGATAAGGAAGCGTGGCCCAAATATATCGCCATTCTTTGGACAAAATACTACTTCTTGCCGCATCTTCTACAGGCAGGAGCCCAAGAATACCATCTATAATGTTTCTTGGTAGAGCGCTGATTCTGTCTTCTCTATCTATTAGAAGAAGTTGAAGTCTTAGGCTTAAACTTATAATCCAAAGCAGAGGAAAAAAGAAAAGAAAAGCGGGAGAGTTTTATACCTTGAGTCATGCTGATTCTGCAACGTTAATTAGAGTCTTAAAATACAGAGCCAAAAGGTTTTCCAATTTATTTACTATATAGTAAGTATTATTTTTGTTTGTGTGTTTGCTTCTCATATATTCACCAACAAAGGATTCGTCGGACAAACTTGCGTTCTGCTCAAAGGAATCAGGAATTTTACTATTCGCTGCCGCCGTCGAACAAATACCAACAAGGCTGTCTATTTATATTTCTAATTTCATAGTTAACGAAATTAACACAGGAGATAAAACAGGGCTGTAGCCGTAGCGTTCAGTTTAATGTTTCATCAAAGAGAGCCGCCAAGTATCATAAGATTAGTTTCATCATAACAGTATTTTCAAACCTAAGACAAGAATAATCGTTTAATCCCTAATTATGGTGACTATGATACTAATTGTAAGATATAAATGGATATTAAGATATAATATACCTATATTAAGATATTAAATATGGAGACTATTGACAGCTATAACAGATATTAAGATACAATATATTAAAATAAACATACCGTTCAACTCCATTGGTTGCAGCAACACTAGCACTTTTATTAAGTTGAAAGATGGATTAGCCTCTATTTATACATAGTATTTACTCCCAATTTTTATTGGATTTTGCTTATTCCCAATTTTTATTGGATTTTGCTAATTCACACACACAATAATTATTGATGGAAAAATGACACTGGATAGCCGCTGTAAAAATAATAGCCGAAAAAATATGTAAAATTTATATATTTGTGCGTGTGCGTGTGCGTGTGCGTGTGTATCTATCTATCTATCTATATATTATAAAAGCAAAAATAAAATGTTGGATTACAAAAATAACCTTTTAATATTAAGTATAATAACTCATAATAAAGGACATAATCGAAATTCTAGACATTAACCTTGTAATCCTATTAGTTTTAGTACATAATGCTACACGTTAGGAATCCTACATGAGAGCTTCCACGTGGGCAAATTATTGTGATTGTTAAGCTACTCAAGTTGCCTTTAAAATAAAAAAAGTTACTCAAGCTTCGAACATTAGAAAAGTGAGAATTGATCTCAACTGACATGATAATGGTAGTTATTGTTCTTTTGCTGAACTCTAATGCGGCAAGCACTAGCCAATCAATTCATTACACAAAATAGTATCCAATGGATTAAATCCTACACCTTTAAGAATTTTATTAGTATAATTATTTTCGGCATAGATATTAGCCTTGTAATCCTATTACTTTTAGGATATACTTCTTAAAAAATTTCTATTACTAATTTAATTTGAAAACATATTATATTGTCCAAATCCATTTAGAAACAGGAGAGTCTATATTATTATAAAAGCACGAATATAATATTGACAAAAGAACTCATAGGAAAAGGACATAACTGTAATAACTTATTTTTTTGGACTGTAATAACTTCTATGTTAATTTTTTTTAATATTTAAGATTTTAAAATTAATATAATCTTGTCTATTGAATTCTTATAAAAATATGTAGGAAGGTTTAATAAAATCAATTTCATAAGACCTCGCGGTGCTTACACCTCTCCCCTGTCGAAGTTCTGTTCAAAAACCTCGTCCGAGAACTTGTATAGAGAAGGATTTCCCGCGGCGCAACAGTTCTTCCATACCATCCTCCATATTGGTAATACATTACCACTTTATAATATTCAATACCAAAAATAAAATAAAAGTAATGCTAAACGAAATACATAAAGCGTTGAAATTGAGAAAAAAATTACCATGATAATATATTTTTATATTTGAACTATTTTTCTACTCAAATAATTTTATTATTATTAATTTTTCGTGTAACCCAATTATTAAAGAACAACTAAGAAAAATTTTAAGAATATAAATGTGTGAGAAAAGAAAGAAAAATGTTGGTAAGAGCCAATACCACTAATGATTTTGCAAACATAAAGATCTAAAAGTGGAATGTCATCGATCTTTTTGCTCTTTGAATAAAATCTATGGTGGATAAAATTATAATCACGGTTAAATATTCAAACATGAGATGAAATAATATTAAGAATCTAAATCAACAGAAAATAAATTATATATTTTATGTTAAAACTAAATAATTAAATCTTTCAATTAATTATTTAGCAAGAGAATCCAATTAAATTATTTTTTAAATTCATCATATGAGTAAAATTATTTTTCAAGTTGAAAAAATATAATATTAAGAAGGTCATACAAGTGTTTGAGGAAACACAATCAAAACTAAATCCTGAACAAGAATAAGCTTTCAAGACTATATTATAAAAAGTTAACTCTGGTATAGCAGGATGATCCTTTGTAGATGCCTCCGACGGAATCAAAATAATATTCATATGTCATGCATTACTTGCAAATGTCAGATCAAGAGGCATGATATTGTTAGCAATAAGAACAAGTGGTGTACCAGCAACGATTTTATTATGAGGTTGTACAATTCACTTTAGATATGATATACCTCTTCAAATAACTGAAATAACGATCACAAATATATCGAATCAGATCAATAGTGCTAAATTTATAAGGAAAGCAAAAGTGATAATATGGGATGAAGCGCTTTTGGCTACGCATCAAACGATTGAAACAATCCCCCAGAGTTTTAGAGATATATTGGATATCGATGAACCGTTTGGTAGAAAAGTAATAGCTTAGGAGGTGATTTCTGTCAAGTACAATTACTAGTTCCAAAATTGACCAAAGCAGAAATGGTAAAAGCTAGCTTGCAAAATTATACTTATGACCTCAAATGAAAAATATTCAAATGACAAGAAATATAAAAATAAGAGCAGATACAACATTCAGTGACTTCTTGCTTCGTGTCAGAAACGAAGAAGAGCATCCAATAAAAGATGATTTGGTTCTTCTAGAACACTTGGTTATCAACCCCAATAATAATAGTAGTACATTTAATAAGGAAAATATTTTTATTATTAGATTAAAATGTAATTTGTGCAAATTACATGATAGAATTAAAGAATTACCTTAGCTAGCAGAAATGAATATGTTGATCAACTAAATAAAAGGTTGACTACTAAGTTTTATGGTAAAAACAAAATATTTTTCAGTTTTGACTCAACGGAAGATGATACCAACAATACTACCAAGAAGAATACTTAAATACTTTAATAACAAATGGCCTTCTACTGTACATGTTTGTTGTCAAGTTTATTATTTCTTATGTATGTTAGTGTCAACATATATATAATAGACTAAGTTTAAATTGATCTTCCATTGCATATAGGTTTATGCCCGTCATGCTACTGAAAACTTAGATCTGCTGAATAACTTATGTAATAGTACACATATGGTATATAAAAGTTTTGACAATAACGTAATACATGCAGAACTTATGATACTGATCAATGTGCTTCTAAGCATGTGTTTACCCCCGAATTCAACTTTCGTCTACCGAAACTAAAGTATATCTTTTTAAATTTGTGTGAAAATAATTTTCAGTATGTTTATGTTTTGTAGTTATAATAAATAAAGCACAAGGACAAACATCCTAAATATTGAAGTATATTTACCACAATATGTTTTCTTACACGAATAACTATATGTTGTACTTTCAAGAGAGATATCAATATCGACAACAAGAGTTCAGGTTATGGCAGAGTAACCAAAGCATTAGAAGGAAACATATACAAACACCGTCTATAAAGAAGTGTTCAGTAAGATACCATCACATTAGATACCTTTAAACTACAATACATAAATATCTACTTAACACGACTAAAATTGATCATTTATGTAAGTTCTGATGATATACTTTCATTTTGAATTCACGTATTATGCTAATGTAACAATATTTTTCGCATTTAGATGATTGTTGTAGTATTATATATAAAATTTCTCTCATTAATTAAATTTTATTGTTTATTCATATAAATAAATATATAAACCATCATTGCTATTATTAACGTGATCAAGCTAAAAGTGTAAATATTTAAACCATCATTGCCATTATTTATATATATATATATATATATATATATATATATATATATATATATATATATATATATATATATATATAAATTTTATACATTTTTTCGACTACCAAATGTAAATAATTTCTGGCGCGGGCTAAAAGTGATAATACCCCAATATTGATCAAGCTTTCTCTTCATTTTATTCCCTTGGACCATTTCACTATCTTCTTGGGCTTTTTTTACTTTTAGCCTACATCAGAAATTATTTATATTCGGTAACCAAAAAGTATATAAAATTAGTATAATTTTGTATATAACATCAGAATGTATGTGTCTACAAAAAAAATATTTTTTCGGCTATTATTTTAAGAACGGTTATACAATATCATTTTCTTTTTCAATTATAACCAATTATTGTAAGTCCAAACTCCAAATTCCAACAATTACTCCTATCAGAATACTCAACATTATTGTGTTTAAAGTTCCATGTTATGTCATTGTTTTTTTTTTCTTAAAAAAGGTTGTAGAATTGCAATTCAGTATTCAAATACAAAGTCAAGTTTATCAAAGCATAAGTCCACCAGTTTGTCCCAAAATAACTCCACTTACGTGGTAAATTTTGTTGCGTTTTTATTAAGGGGTGTGAATGTGACGATCCAAAGGGTCATCACTGGATTTCTCTCTTTTTTCGTGCTTTCGAGGCCTTGAAAACCTCACATTTAGTTGTCTCGATTTGCGTGCGCAGTCCGGGCGCGTAGCCGGAAAGATTATATGTTAAATTCTGTGAAAATTTTTAAAATGTGGCTTTAAAATGATTAAAGTTGACTTCGGTCAATATTTTTGGTAAAAGGACCCGGACCCGTGATTTGATGGTCCCGAAGGGTCCGTAGAAAAATATGGGACTCGGGCATATGCCCGGAGTCGAATTCCGAGGTCTAGAGCCCGAGAAAAAATTTTTTCTGTGAAATTGTTTTTCTGAAATTATTAAGGAAAATGGAAATGAGAATTGATTAAAAGACTGTGGTATCGGGCTCGTATTTTGGTTCCGACGCCCTGTACAAGTCTTATATATGGTTAA